TGTAAAAAAATCAATAAAATATATTTAAAAAAAAAGAAAAACAAAAATACTCTACCCAGCAAAGCTATCACTCAGAATCTAAGGCCAGATAAAGAACTTTACAAATAAAAAAAAAAGCTAAAGGAGTTCATCACTGCCAAACCAGAATTATATGAATTGCTGAAGGTGGTTCTTTAGGAAGAGAAAGAAAATAAAGATAAAAATTATGAAGAACAAATAAGTAACTATCAACAAGTGAATCTAAAAACCAAGGGAATTAAAAAATCTGATGAACAATATTAACTGGTGAATATAATAGAATCAGAGGTATGGAAGGGGAGTGAACTGACGATTCTTGGGGAAAAGGAGAGTGGGGGTGTGGGAAGAGACTGAACATAAACAGTGCATCTATGGATGAGGACAATGGTGGGTGGGGAAAGGGTAGTGGGGTGGGAACCTGGTGGAGGGGAGCGATGGAGGGGGGGGAATGAGGAACATTTGTAATAATATGAACAATAAAGATTTATTTTAAAAATAATAAAAAATAAAAATAAAAAAATAAGAAAGGAGAGGGAGAGAGAGAAACATCAATGATGAGAGAGAATCATTGATAGGTTACCTCCTGCATGCCTCCTACTGGGGACTGAGCCTGCAACCCATGCAATATGGCCTTGACTGGAATAGAACCAGAGATTCTTCAGTCCACAGGCTGTGGCTCTATCCACTGAGCCAATCCCGCTAGGGCTAGACTGGATTTTTTTTTAAGTACTGTACATATATTTATTGATTTCAGATAGGAAGGGAGAGGGAGAAATGGAAACATCAATGATGAGAGAATCATTGATCGGCTGCCTCCTGCTTGCCCCCAACTGGGGATTGAGGCCACAACCCAGGCATATGTCCCTGACCGGAATCAAACCCGGGACCCTTCAGTTCGCAGGCAAACCAGCCAGGGCTGGGCTGGATCTTTCTTATCTTTCTCTCCAGGAATGCTTCAGGCTTGGTACGATTTATGTGGTGCTCAAGTGATGTTTGTGGGAGCATAGGGGTTAAGAGCAGGAACTCTGAGCCAGGCTGCCTGGGCTGGGGACCTGGCTTTGCCACTGTCTGTCTCAGAAGGCCCAGGGCACAGCTTGTTTGGACATTTCTGTGCCTATTTGCTTATCTGAAAAGTGTAATCCTCACATAAATCTTTTATTGTGAAGAATAAGATTAAACGCCGGGACCGGTTTGGCTCAGTGGATAGAGTGTCGGCCTGCGGACTGAAAGGTCCCGGGTTCGATTTTGGTCAAGGGCATGTACCTTGGTTGCAGGCACATCCCCAGTAGGGGGTGTGCAAGAGGCAGCTGAACGATGATTCTCTCTCATCGATGTTTCTAACTCTCTGTCCCTCTCAATTCCTCTCTGTGTAAAATCAATAAAATATATATTAAAAAAAAAGAATAAGATTAAACAAGTTATACTCAAAGCACTCAGAAGAGTGCCTGACACTTGGCTAGATTTATCAAAGTGTTACCCTATTATAAATGTTATATATATATATATTTATATATATATATATATATATTTAAAAAATATATATTTTATTGAGTTTTTACAGAGGGGAAGAGAGAGGGATAGAAAGCTAGAAACATTGATGAGAGAGAAATATCAATCAGTTGCCTCTTGCACACCCCCTACTGGGAATGTGCCCACAACCAAGGTACATGCCCTTGATCAGAATACAACCTGGGACCCTTTAGTCTGCAGGCCGACACCCTATCTACTGAGCCAAACTGGTTTTGGCTAAATGTTATATATTTAATACTAGGGGCCCAGTGCATGAATTCATGCACCTTGAAAGGAACTGTGAGCTGCAATGCTTTGGTGGGCACAGGGGAAGATGGAGAAGCCCTCAGTGGTGATCAGGGCTGGCAGCTGCCACTTGTACTCAGTGATGATGCCAAGTGATTGGGACCAGCGCTGGGAGCCCACAGGTGTGAATGCTGGGCAGGACTGCAGCAGAGGGCGCGGGGGAAGGGCGAAAAATTTTCAGTAATCCCCTGGGGCTTGCACCGATGATGACAGTGACTGGCGCCCTGCCTTGGTCTGGTGATACAAGCCATGTTCTGTGCTCTGCTGCCTGTTGCCAATGCCTGCTATGTTCTGTGCACACACCCTGGTGGTCAGTGCCTATCTTAGCAACCGGTTGTTCGGTCTATTTGGATATCAGCCTTTTACTATATAGGACTAGTGACCTGTTGCAGGAATATTCCTACAAGACTTTTGGGGGGCTTCCCTCCAGCCACTGCCACCTCCCTCCCCCACCTCTCCCGCTGTGGAGGGCAGGGTGGGGTGGAGCAGGGCAGGGTGGTGTGGGTGAAACAGGCGGGGCATGCCCCGCCCGTCCCACCTGCCCTACCACCCCTGCAGCCACCTCTGCCACCTCCGCTGCCCACCTCGCCCCACATGCCTGACCCTCCACACCCACCACCCCTGCTGCCTCCCACGGCTGCCACCATCACTGCTGCCACCATCACTGCTACCACCACTGTGCGCCTCCCTGTATGTGCTGCCAGTGCTTTCCCTCCAGCAGCCACAGCTGCCTTGCTTTCTACTTTCCCTCCCTCTGCCTGCTATGCTGTCTTCAGTATTCATTCCTCCCTCCCTCTGTGTATGCAAATTAACTGCCATCTTTGTTGGGTTAATTTGCATATGTGCTCTGTTTGGCTGGTGGCCGTGGCTGGTTGGCATGGCTTGTGGGTGTAGCGGAGTAATGGTTAACTTGCATATTACTCTATTATTAGATAGGATATAAATATTTCACTATTAAATGTTAGCTTTGTTATTAAATTGCTTCATTTATTTTGTACACTAGTGCATCTTCAGGTCCCAGAACAGTGCCTGGTACACTGTAGATACTTAATAAATATTTGTAGAATGAATGAATGAGTGGTAGACTTCCTTTCCTCTCACTCCAGAGTCTCGCTGCCCTCCCAATCTGGATGGGTGACAGGGTGTTCAAAGGCCATCAGGGCCTCAGTTAGGGGGTTAGTAGAAGTTTGTAAGCAGGCCTAGGAAATACCTCTGGATTTTTCTCCAGGAAAACGTGTCTAATCTAAAAAGGAACTTCTGGAACCCAGGTCAAAGGTACATTGGGGAGAAAAATCTGCATGTGTACCAGGAACAACTTCCTTTGTCTTGTTTTATTCTATACATTCAAGTTTTCTTCTCTAGGCTAGGCTGATTAGAGTGCAAGTTGCCAAGTTAATTTGAATTTCACTTTTTGTCCTTGGTCTCACAGAGAGTCAACAGGCTTCAGAACACTGCAAAGTGTCTCTGGCACCAACAAAAGGAGTGTTTTTCAGCTACATAGACCTGGATTTGAATTAGGCCTTCAGAGTCTTAGCTGCACTTGGACTCACTTTTCTTATCTATAAAATGGAAATACCCTTACTTTCTGCACAAGACTGCATTTTGAAACACTTAAGCCCTCTACAACTATCAGTTATTGTGGATCTTCACATTGGTTCCTCGGTAGGGCTTCAGGGGAAAAAACAGAGATCCCTACTCTATGCAAGGGTTCAGAGGGACCAGGTTTTCTTGTCCCAAGGGTATTTGGGGGCAAAGCTGTGACAGTTTGGGTGGGCGATCAGTGCTGGACCAGACTAGGATCCAGGGGTCCTGGCTAAATCTTATGCTTTTTTGCAGGTCAAAAAATTATAATCAGCCTGGCCAGTGTGAACCTATGAACCAAGAGGTCACAGTTGGATTCCAGTCTGGCACATGCTCAAATTGTGAGTTAGATTCCCCAGAGTAGGGGTGAGGGGGGTGCAGGAGGCAGCTTATGGATGATTCTCTCTCCTCATTGATGTTTCTCTCTATCCGTCTCCCTTCTTCTCTCTCTAAAAAAGCCAATAAAAATATTTTTAGCCCTTTCTGGTTTGGTTCAGTTGATAGAGTGTCAGCTTGTGGACTGAAGGGTTTTGGTCCTGGGTTCGATTCTGGGCACGGACACATGCCTGGGTTGCAGGTTCGATCACCAGTAGGGGACATGCAGGAGGCAGCCGATCAATGATTCTCTCTCTCTCTCTCTCTCTCTCTCTCTCTCTCTATATATATATATATGTATAAAATTTTATTTTTATTGATTTTTTTACAGAAAGGAAGGGAGAAGGATAGAGTTAGAAACATCGATGAGAGCGAAACACCAATCAGCTGCCTCCTGCACACCCCCTACTGAGGATGTGCCCACAACCAAGGTACATGCCCTTGACTAGAATCGAACCTGGGACCCTTTAGTCCGCAGGCCAACGCTTTATCCACTGAGCCAAACCGGTTAGGGCTCATCATTGATATTTCTATATCTCTCTCCCCTCTCCCTTCCTCTCTGAAACCAATAAAGATATATTACAAAAAATAAAAATATTTAAAAAAAGTCACAATTCACAAATCCTGGTAAGGACGAAAGAAACACAACCCCTAAAGACGGTGAAGTGGCCCGGTCAGTGTGGCTCAGTGGCTGAGCATCAGCCAGCCTGACGGGTGTGGACCTATGAATCAGGAGGTCGCCGTTAGATTCCTGGTTAGGGCACAAGCCCGGGTTGAGGGCTCAATCCAGTGGGGGGGGGGGGGGGTGGAGGAGGCAGCGGATTAACGATTCTCTCTCATCATTGATGTTTCTATCTCCCTCTCCCTTCCTCTCTGAAACCAATAAAAAAAAATACACATATATATGAAAGACGGTGAAGTGAAAACCGAGAGGGTCTGGGTGTGCAGTCAGGTAGAAACCTGTGAGCGATGGGCACAGATCGCCATCCAGAGTGAAAGTAGGGCCGCCAAAGGCGCCAGGCCAAGGAATTTCGGTTCCGCCCGGCGATTCTCGCTTTGACTCCAGTTCAGTCCACAGAAGCCCTGGCCCCTCGCCCCGCCCCCGAGGGTAATTAGACTGTACCATTGTGCCTTGCCAGGGGTGGAAGTAATCGTGGGCTAGCCTCCAGAGCGAACCAGAGTTCTTTGTTAGAAAAAGCATGATTATATGTATTATTTGAAGTTTCTTATGTTCTTAGTTTATATGCTTCCCCTCTGCCTGCTCGGCCCTCTATACTTTCTGGAGTGTTGAGAGTGCGGCCACACCTCCCCCTGGCTTTCCGCACTTGGTACCTCCCCCCGCGGTACGTAGGCGGGAGGCATACATAAACCGCGACGCGGCGGCGGGCGCTCAGTCCTCGAGGCGTCGGCGCTGTGCGGTGTGGGGCTTTGCGGCGTGTCGGCTGAGTGCGCGTGCGCCGACATGGCCTCAAACGGTATGTAGGGGCGCGAGGCGGTGGCGGCGCGCCGACCCGGGCTCGTTGCCTCCCAGCCGGGCTTGTGTGTTTCGGTGGGGCCGGGGCGGTGATCCCGTGTAGGATCTGGTACCTCTGGCGGGAAGCAGCAGAGAAGGGTGGAGGGGGGAAGCCGAGGTCGCCATCTTGTTTCTCTGCTCCGATGCCTCGCGCGGGGCGGGATGTCTTCCATTCGCAGTCCTGCTCCTTGAGGTGAGGGTTGGGAGGCATGATTCTTGGTGGCATGAAATGCGAGATACGGATGGAGATGCTCGGCCCCTGCAGCCGCTTTCCCCCGGCTCCCCAGCCCGGCGCCCGGGCCGCTTTGTCGCAGTGCTGCATCCGGGCACTCGGGGCGCGCACGCGCTCTGCCGGCCCCTCCCCCCCATTCGCGGCGCGAAGCCCCCTCCCGCCTCTTTTGGGACCTTTTTGTCGCGAGGCCCTCTCGGCCAAAGGCTGCGCGGTGCCCGTCCCGCACGGGCCTCGGTCCCCCCGCCGCCCACGGGTCCCTCGGGAAGGGGCGGGGCCGCCCCGTTCCCTCTCGGGCTGCCACGCGGCGCGGGGCCGGGGTTCGAGATCCCGGGCCCGTGCCCGCCTAACGGCTGGCGGGTGGCGGTGGTTCCTGAGGGTCGTCCTGCGGCCTTCGGGGCCGGGCCCGGCCGAGCGTGCTCCCCCCAACCCCCCTCTTCCTGAGGTGGGAACGGAAAGGAGCGACCGCCCCGGGCCACACCCTCTCGCGGTTCTTTGGCCCTTTTCCTGGGGGGAAGCGCCGTGTGCTGTGCGGAGGAGAGGGGTGCTCTGGCCGGGCGCCTTCGTGCCGGCGTCTAAAGGCGCTTTCACTGCTTTTGGTTCCGGGGAAGGCGGGTTCAGTTGGAGCCCCGGGGCTGGGGACGTGGGTACCAATGGTCTTGTCTCTGAGGCGATGCTCTCTGTCCTGTGGGGTCGGAGTTCTCTGGGTTACCTGTCTTTGCATTAGAAGTCCAGCTGCTAGTCTTCAAATTGTGGAAAGGGTGGGTGGCCTCTTTGTAGACATGCTTGCTCTTTTATTTTGCTCTTCGGTGGAGAGAATGGCCACATCCCGAACACTGTTGCCTCCTGCTTCCAGCTGTAATTAAAACCTGCCCCACTTACACAGCCCTGACTTCAGCTAACTCTCGGTGATAGCTTCCTCCTGGAGTGGGCATGACGAGGAGGCGTGTGGATATGTGCGGCTCCTGAGCCCATTGAGTCTGTGGGAAAGTGTGGCTGCCCACCACAACTCTCGGTGTTTCCATCCAGAAAGGTTTCTGTAGAATTCCCTTTTTCTTTATTGTGTTCTCCTTTCTTCGGAGTGGCGGAAAGTAATTGTATTTTTCTTTTGCAGACTATACCCAGCAAGCAACCCAAAGGTGAGTATCATTTCTGGCCTTCCAAAGTTTTCAGAGGGCAGGAGTTGCTATGTTTTCCTGATTGCTGATTTTGTTTTTTCTTCCCCACCCCCTCTCCAGCTATGGGGCCTACCCCACCCAGCCTGGGCAGGGTTATTCCCAGCAGAGCAACCAGCCCTACGGACAGCAGAGTTACGGTGGCTACAGCCAGTCTGGGGACACTTCAGGCTATGGCCAGAGCACCTATGGTTCTTATGGGCAGACCCAGAACAGTGAGTGCTTTTAAGTGGGTCACCCGCCTCTTCCTACTGTTCTCAATGTTGCTTTTCTTAACCGCCAAGCAGTGCTGAAATGTTGAAACTGCCCCATGTTTCTTTTCTCTTATCCAACCCTTAAGACTCTGGAGTTGAGTCCTTTCAAACAAAAATGCTTATTGGTTTGTAATTCTGTTTTGTTTTCTTTTTTTACTTCTATTTATACTGCACTTTTCCCTATTTCACCTCAGGATGAAAGTGAATGTGTCGGGGAAATATTCACTAAAGGGGAGAAAGTTTTAGGCTTTTAATACTCATAGGGGGAAAAATGATTTGCCTGAAGATGTTTGAGATTAGACTATTAAATGTCATATGCTATATGAGAGGTGGAATTTTCCCAGAAGTATAAATAATGGATTGTCCTAATTGTAGTGCAGACACGTGAGCAGGTTGAAACGATGGTAATGAGTAGGAATATCGGGCTGTGGTTAGTGGTGGTCCCTGGAGACTGGCTTTGGGGTGGGTGGGATGAGATTGGAACTCTGAAGTTGGAACATTAGCCTTAGAGTAGAAGAGAAGGGTAACTTCTTTGACTATGATTTGCACAATTTCTAAGTAGCTTCTAAGAGGCTGACTTTTAAAATAAGGTAGCATTGGGTAATATGTAAAGTTTTTCCCCTCTTCTTTTTCCTCTTAGCTCTCGTGACTTCTTTGCTCTTTTCCTTGTTAGCAGGCTATGGCACCCAGTCAGCTCCCCAGGGATATGGCTCAACCGGTGGCTATGGCGGTGGCCAGAGTTCTCAGTCATCTTATGGGCAGCAGTCCTACCCTGGCTATGGCCAGCAGCCAGCTCCTAGCAGCACCTCGGGAAGGTAAGAAATTACGGAGAGGGGTGAATTGATAAGGAATGATGTGACTCCAATAGGAGCAATTATAATGGGGAGTGTTTTTGTTGGATTTAGAGTAGGGGTGTCGAACTCAATCAGAGAAGGGGCAAAAATCTAAAATCCAGCCTAAATCGTGGGCCGAATGGTTTACTGAACAGTCATAAACTGTCATTGTGATGGAAACGCAGCGGAGTGCAGTGATAACAGCGCGGTGCTGGCCACATTGCAAGGCCTGGCGGGACGGATTTGGCCCGCGGGCCTTGTGTTTGACACATGTGATTTAGAGAATGGGGATGTACCAAAAGTGAAAGGAAGTAGTGGACATGTTGGCATTATAATTCTGTGTGTTTTTTTTCCTTTTAGTTACGGTAGCAGCTCTCAGAGCAGCAGCTATGGGCAGCCCCCGAGCGGGGGCTATGGTCAGCAGTCTGGCTATGGTGGACAGCAGCCTAGCTATGGACAGCAGCAAAGCTCCTATAATCCTCCTCAGGGCTATGGACAGCAGAACCAGTACAACAGTAGCAGTGGAGGTGGCGGAGGGGGTGGAGGAGGTGAGAAGGTGTCTTCGGTTTTTGTCTCATAATCTTGGTTCTATAAAGATTGATATTCTGCCTGGTCCTTGCCCTAAAAGGGTTCTTAAAAGTCTTGATTTCTTATTTCCTTCTCTTTTTTTTAAATATGTTTTTATTGATTACAGAGAAGGAGGGAGAGAGAAACACATCAATGAGAGAATCATTGATTGGCTGCTTCCTCATACCCTCAACTGGGGATTGACCCACAATCTGGGCATGTGCCCTGAGGGAATGGAACTGTGAACAACTGAGCTACACTGGCTGGGCTGTGTATTTATTTCTAGTCACTTATCTCCTGGTTGGTTGAACTGTTTTAAGTCATTTCACAGTGTGTGTGGGTTTTTTCCCCCTCTTACGGTATCTTTTCCTTCTGACAGGTAACTATGGCCAAGATCAGTCCTCCATGAGTGGTGGCGGCGGTTATGGCAATCAGGACCAAAGCGGTGGTGGCGGTGGCTACGGGGGCGGCCAGCAGGACCGCGGGGGACGAGGCCGGGGCGGTGGCGGTGGTTACAGCCGCAGCAGCGGCGGCTATGAACCCAGAGGCCGTGGCGGCGGCCGTGGCGGCAGAGGCGGCATGGGGTAGGTGTCTTGTGAGCCAGGGTATAATATCATGGGGGGGGGGGGGGTTTGTGGTGGGTTGCATGATTCAGTACCTTAGAGCATGTTAGTCTTACAGGGATTTGTCATGGCCTTTATACAGGGGGGCATAGACTGTATATCCTCCATCCCATTTTTGTGAGAGCTTGGGAGCCTGAACCCACACCTCAGCATTGACACATTTCCAAAGGAAAAGGAAAAACATGGGTGTGTATGGATTGGAGTCATTGATATCCTAGGCAGGAAACATGGAAGTAAAGGCTTCTCTCTGCAAGGGAAACCGATGATCCCACTCCTGGCAATAGGAAAACTTGTTGTGTTCCCATGTGTCTTTTAAGGGAGTTGTTAACGGTGAATCTGACTTCAGCTTCCAGGATTTGACTACTCTTCCCATATTCTGTAGTCATTTGAATCCACGAGCTTTATTTGCAGTAATTTGACCGACAGTGGCGATTTTGTTTCTGACTTGCTTTGTGGGGCTATTGAAGTGTGCAGACCATTTGGACAAAACACACTGGACAGTTGTATCCCACATATTTGCTCCACTGTCCCCCTCCCCCTGGTGACCTGTCCAACTGGACCTTCCCTTCCCGCTGTAGTTGATTTGAAGTAAAACCTTCGATTTGATGTTAAAGCATGCGTCAAATCTGTAGGTAAATATTATTAGAAGGACCATACTCTTGTCTCCTTTGTAAAGGGGAGAGATGTCATCAGTGTGTTATTCCTTTTTTTTTTTTTTTTAAAGTAGGGTTTTAAAGTGAAAGTTTATATATGGTAAGTATTCAGAGGGTGGGTGGGGGCAATCTCAAAAAACCATACAGAAATGAGGAAAACTATTGTGTGCGTGTGTTTAATGCAAAACTTTAAAAAGAAAAAACAACTGTTATGTGACTGTTAACTTGCTCTGCATTTTATGTGCCACAGGTATGAAAGGTGACATTGCAAAATACTCCGCTCTTCTCGAAGTGTAGAAGGGGTGACCCCGGTGGGTGGGGGGAAAACGGCTCAGTAGTTAGGATAGGGTTTAGTTAGCTAAGTTTGTCTCGCTTTAAGGGGAAATTGCCTTTGGTTTTGACTTTTTATGGAATGGGGTTGGGTCTGCTTGCTGCTTTCAAAGCAAAAACCACAGAAGTGTGTTCAGGGCTACCCCAGCCTGGTGTGAAATGTCTTCTGGGTAAATTGGGGGTAGGGTTTTTAAACCAACAATTGGGTTGTCAACCACTTGCGTGCAACAAGAGGAAAAAACATCTGCTACGTTGGAAGACCAACCAAGGAAAATGGGTCATTTTTTTTTTCCAGAGGAAATAGATATATAACCTTTTAAAGCAAAATTCTTAAAAACAAACAAACAAACAAACAAAACTGTGTCTAAGAAATTTGCACACATGTGTGTGACATGCTCAAAGGTCAGACAAGGGGTGGTCAGGAAGAGGAATGTATTTTAGTAGCCACTTGTATCTTTCCCAAAACACAATACCCTTGTTGAGAATACTAAAACAAAAACAAACACACAAAAACAAACGCCCGTTTGTAGCTGTTGGAAGCTTCATGTCCTTTCTTCTAACTTGTCTTCTCCAGCGGAAGTGATCGTGGTGGCTTCAATAAATTTGGTGGTAAGTGAACAGAGTTTCCAAAATTCCCAACTCTCCCAGCAATGCTTTGTCTGATTGTTCATTTGCCAGATGTCTTAGCGTGTTTTAAGTGTCAAAGGTTTTGAAGTGTCCAGAACCACCTCCAGAAAGGGGTGGGGTAGAATGCCACCTGCTGCCAGATGTGTGCTAACGAGGCAGGCAGGGGTAAGACTCCACAGTCGTCTTTCACCAAATTGGTTTGACTCAGGTCGATAGGTGTTTAATGCGTGTTGCCATACCTGGTACTTGGTGACCATGGCATTATGAAAAACTGGAGAGTGTGCTGGAACACGAACAAACTTGGCTCTAGGGTACTTTTTGATAATTGTGTTCAGGGTGTGTGTGTGTATATATATGTATGTATGTGTATTTGTATGCGTATGTGTAAAAGTGTAACAACCTCTTAAGTGTTAATTCTGGAAGAGGGATGTGAAATACTGCCCTGAGAATGGTGAAGTTGGTATATACAGTATTTATACATTAAATACTGAATGGTGTCAATTCAATTCTACATATATGTATTTAAACAACTCAGATGGGCAAATAGCAACTAGCTGTGGAAAGGAAGGTGTGGACCACAAGAACGGTTGGGAGCATGTGTGGCTCATGGGAAATAACAGCACAAACTAAGTTCATGAAAAATGGCAAATTTGAGAAGTCTGCCAGTAAGCTGGAACTTTTCTGGTTTGGTTAACAAAAGGTTTCTTGATTTGTCTCACCATTTAAAACCAAAGGCCCGGGTTCATGATTTTGGTGTCATTGAATGTGGGTACAGTGTATATATGGTGAATTCAGAGAAACTTTGGTCAAAGGTGGTCTCTGGAAAAAAATAGGCTGCATTATGGAAATAAAGCTATTATATATGTTTTTAATTTTTAAAATTTTCATATGTGGTTTTGGGGAAACAACATGGTTTTAAGAAGGTTTCTAAAGAAGAAATTAAAAATTGTTTCACGAGGGATAAGTGTCTTTGGTGGTAAAAGTATGGAGAAGCTGGATGGATGCATATCACATTGCTGGTGGTGAGCCCATTTCTCTCGGGTGAGAGAACAGGGCCAAGTTATGAGTTGGTTTGTTAACTTCAATGAGTTTCCTTTGGCCTCCCACCTCCCCCCAATCTGTGCTGAGGACATTTCCCAGCCTGAGCTGGGGGAGGCAGCATTTATGAAGTGCGGAGTTGTCCCTGTGGGGACTCAAGTTACATACAGATGTTAAGAAGAGGGGCCTGTGTCTTCTCCCCCAGCCCTGCCTAGGATTTTCTCTGGGGTTTGGAGTGAGACTGTGAGCACTTAACTGATACTTTGCGAGTTTGGATTTGGTTTTAAGTTTTTGCCTTGTCAATCTTTACCTGTTGACTAACGACCCCTCTTTCCTTGTTTTTTTTCTTTCCCCCCCATGTTACTTAAGGCCCTCGGGACCAAGGATCTCGTCATGACTCTGGTGAGTCCACAGGTGGCTAACATGGGACCTTTTCTGGATGTGTTTTGAGAAAGAGCAGGGGGTAGAGAAGGAAAAAGGAAGGGAAGGAGGGAGTTTAGGCGTAGCTGTAGTTAGTGTATCAGAAATAAACATGTATCAGAAATAATTGATGTAGTTTACTCCACCAGCAATTTAGCCCAATAAGTCTTGCATTTCTAACAAGTCTTAAGAGTGCTGATACATGTGTATGGTCCATGCACCAGAACTGCTGGTTTAAAGTATAGGTTTTTTAAGATGTAAATCATGATCAAATTAGTGAACACTGAAGACTTATATAGGGAAGCATTTTAGTGTACCTTTGTTTTGATGATGCTTGTACTGGATTTTAGTATAAAATAGGTTTCTTACCTTGAGGTCTTCAATTAAGAGTTTTACAAACATTGGTGTTCTTAATTATGTGATATTTGGCAGTTAATTTGAGCCCTGGTTTCTGTAATGGCTATTAACGTGTGCAAGTATAGTTGTAGAACTAATTTTAAATTTCTGAAATGGGTGCCATATAGACATTCAAATAATAAAAATTAGAGATGTGGGTTTTTTGTTTGTTATAAACCAAATTATATTGGTTATTTTAGGATTTTTTTCCTTTGGAAGTTTAGTATCGGTTTAGGTGAAGAGTCAGCCATTTTTATCTTTGCTTGTTGTCTTTTGCACAAACAGAACAGGATAATTCAGACAACAACACCATCTTCGTGCAAGGCCTGGGCGAGAATGTCACAGTCGAGTCTGTGGCTGATTACTTCAAGCAGATTGGTATTATTAAGGTACTTGTGGTGCAGGGTGGGTGCTTCCTATCTGTTTCAGACGTGGATTTCACACATTAGTAAAAATAAATGTCTTAATGGTTATGAACTTAATTTGATGAGGAAGGAGCATTTGCTGTTGCTGTTTTCCAAAAGAAATAGCAAACAATTGATAAAAGGACTATTCTAGACTTTTGAATTTGTAAGGCTTAACCATTAATTTTATCTTTTTAACTAGAGGCCCAGTGCATGAATTTGTGCATCAGTGGGATCCCTCAGCCTGGCCTGTGGTATTGATCCGAAACCAGCTCTCTGACATCCCCCAAGGGGTCCCGGGTTACAAGAGGGTACAGGCCAGACTGAGGGATCTCACTGGTACATGTCGGGCTAGGGAGAGACGCTAGGGAGGGACTGCAGCAGCCACACCCCATCAGCAAGCTAACCAACCAGTCGGAGCATCTGCCCTCTAGTGGTCAGTGCATGTCATACCAAGCTGTTAAGCGGCCTTAGCATATCATTGGCATATTATGCTTTGATTGGTTGAATGGACACAACCAGACACTTAGCATACATATTAGGCTTTTATTATATAGGATATGATGTGAGCGAATGGGAGCTACTGATTTTTATTCAAATTACATGTGAGGTGGGAACTAGTAACTGAGAAGAGAGGAGCTGACGTATGGTTACGATGAGCCTCAGGTTCTGGAGGAGGAAGTTAGAAGGTGGGTAGAACTATTATGTCCTGTAAGCCTAATGTTATCTCAATGTTGCCTTTTTCAGACAAATAAGAAAACAGGACAACCCATGATTAATCTGTACACAGACAGGGAAACAGGCAAGCTGAAGGGAGAGGCAACGGTATCGTTTGATGACCCACCTTCTGCTAAAGCAGCTATTGACTGGTTTGATGGTATGTATGAGGAGGTTGTGGTGTCAGGTGGGGAGATCCGGGCAAGCAAGCCTTGGGAAACTGACTACATTTTGAGGGTTTCTTTGAGTCTTTCAACATTTGCTCTATGTGCTACTTAAAGTAGTATTTATTTTTGCTTATATCTCTTTAGATTATAAACCTTTTCAGGAAGGCAGAGTCTTACCTTGTTGATTGTATCTAGTGTCCTTTCCAAGCATGTCAAATGAGGCATCTGTGTTAGACTTGCTTATTTTTAGACCCATGGGTCATAATAAGCCTCCCCCTTTTTTGGGGATATGTTTATTGATTTTACAGAGAGTGATAGAGAAAATCACCGATTGGCTGCTTTCTACACACCCCCTTTTGGGGATCAAGCATGCAACCTGGCATGCCTGGAGAATCAAACTGACCTGGTTCAAAGCTCAATCACTTAGCCACACCGGTCAGGCAAAAGCCTCCTTTTTATACCTTCTTTATTTCTTTAGGTAAAGAATTCTCTGGGAATCCTATCAAGGTTTCATTTGCTACTCGGCGTGCAGATTTCAATCGAGGTGGTGGCAATGGTCGTGGAGGCCGAGGGCGAGGAGGTGAGGAGCTATTTCCTGATGTTCGTGTAAAGAGGTGATGGGAAGAGGGGGCAGCATTGGGAGGGCTTGCATAGGAAAGAAGGCTAGGTTAACTAAACATGGAAAGGGGCCGGACCCATGTTTGTATCTACACTAGGACCCATGGGCCGCGGAGGCTATGGAGGTGGTGGCAGTGGTGGCGGTGGCCGAGGTGGATTCCCAAGTGGAGGTGGTGGCGGTGGAGGACAGCAGCGAGCTGGGGACTGGAAGTGTCCTAATCCGTGAGTGAAACTTTTTTCTCTCAGTCTTACACGTGTGCCCTTTGATGTTATGGTGGAGTTGTGTGTTTTCTAAACTAGTAAAGCCAAGGCTGCAGTGATAGAGAGAAACAGGCTAAGAGCTTACCTCCTAGGTAAGGTAACTGTAGTGGGAATGGCATTGGACTGGGTTTGCTAATTGAAGTTTTTGTTCCTGTCTTTGAGAAGCAAGCCTTCTTACCTTACTTGAGGGCTGAGGCTCAGTTTTCTCTCTGTAAGGTCACTGGAGTCTGAGTCTTTCAATTCTAGGTCTTGCCTTACTCTCCACCCCTTCAAGTTATTTTCTTTCCTCAGTACATGCGAGAACATGAACTTCTCTTGGAGGAATGAATGCAACCAGTGTAAGGCCCCTAAACCAGATGGCCCGGGAGGGGGACCAGGAGGCTCTCATATGGGTAAGGAAAAGGCGGAGCTGGTAATAAGAATTTGGGATCAAAAAGCCCTTAATTTTTGGGGGGCTGGGGGTGGGCTAGAAGGGGTCAGTGGGAAGAAAAGGGAGGCACATGTAATACTTTTGACTATTTTTTTAAAAAGCCCTTAATTTTAAGCAGAAAAGCTAGAGGGAAGGGTAAGGGAGATTTTGGGATATGATATATCATATTTCTTTTGTCCTAGGGGGTAGCTACGGAGATGATCGTCGTGGAGGCAGAGGCGGCTATGATCGGGGCGGCTACCGAGGCCGAGGCGGGGACCGCGGGGGCTTCCGAGGGGGCCGGGGTGGTGGGGACAGAGGAGGCTTTGGCCCTGGCAAGATGGACTCCAGGTAAGACTAAGTTGAAATAGAAGTAATTGAACAGGTCATGGGGTTCAAGGTTGTTATTTTTTTTAATACATTTTTATTGATTTCAGAGAGGAAGGAAGAGGGGGAGAGAAACATCAGTGATGAGAATCATTGATTGGCTGCCTCCTACACGCCCCCTACTGGGATTGAGCCTTGTAATGCACTCACGTGTCTTTGATGAATCAAATCTGGGACCCTTCAGTCCGCAGGCGTATGCTCTATCCATTGAGCCAAACCAGCTAGGGTGGGATTGCATGGTTTTGTTGAGAAAGTTGTTTCATTTTGAGAGTTAGATTGTTAAATTGAGATTGTGGCCCTAGTGGGGATGGAAGGAGGGGATGAAAGTTATCTCTGGAAACTAATCTCTGTACTCAACACTTAGAGAGGTTTTTTGGGCTAGGATTTTGGGGGTGGGCTGAGAAGTTGGTAACGCAGACCTTAATGGATACTCTCTCTTTGCAGGGGTGACCACAGACAGGATCGAAGGGAGAGGCCATATTAGCCTGCCTCCTGCAGTCCTGAAACGGCTTTTCTTCTATATCCAGTGTGACCTTCGTTGTTTTGTAACTTTTCAACTTCTGACCCACCATGGGTTTTTGTCGGACTATGTTATTGTAACCATATATCTGGTTCCCATTAAAAACCATCGTTTTAGTTAAATTTTCTATCTCTACCCCCCTCTTCAGAGGATTATGTCCAGGTCAGGAATGTGGAGTGTTTTCCTCTTTCAGATAATCCTGCCCAGCAGGAACTGGAATAAAGTGTTTGATACTTGGTCCTGGGGAGAAAAAGTCAAGTGGTCTCCTTAAAAATAGAGATTAAACTCATCACAAAGTTGGGTGTATGAATGGGGTAAATGAACATGTGATGTCATGAGTGTTGCCCCTAATATGCCCAACTCTGTGAACAATTTTTAGCAAATTTGTTTACATGCTGGTCTTAGTGTATGTACTGTTTACAGCAGCCTTACCTTCCAAGGACGGTTGGGTGTTTTTACACTTTTTTAAAGTGGGGCTCGAATCGGAATTGCCTTTAGGGGCAGTATTCACATTTGACCACCATGGGAGGCGCTGCTGTCAGGTCTTTGCACAAAGGTGAGTAACGGCACCTCACTGCAGGGGTTGTGTGGCCTCCCTAGACAGAAAAAGTGTGGGGCATGTGACAGAACCAGAATGATTGAGCCCTAGTGTTCTGACTTTGTTTTTAACCTGAAGCCATTTTTCTGAAGGGAACAAACTCATGATCATTTGCTTACACCTTTTTTGTTTTTAATTATTTTTACTTTTTAAAATATATATTTTATTGATTTTTCACAGAGAGGAAGGTAGAGGGATAGAGAGCTAGGAACATCGATGAGAGAGAAACATCAATCAGCTGCCTCCTGCGCACCCCTGACCGGGGATGTGCCCGCAACCAATGCACATGCCCTTGACCGGAATTGAACCTGGGACCTTTCAGTCACAGACCGACACTATCCACTGAGCCAAACCGGTTTTGGCTGCTTAGAATTTTTTTTATGTGAGGATTCTAAATTTGAGGGAGGTTTGTGGAAGGTTGAGTGGGCTGGGTCATGCACCTATGACTTGAGGCCAGAATGTATCAAAGGATCTTTTATTTCAGACCATTAGAGTCCATGGTCTCCAATGTAATAAAAGGGTGCAGGTAGGCTGAGTCCAAAAAAGGAATCAATGACTGAAGCGGGAGGCAGGGTTTTATTAATTTTAGAGGCCCAGGGAACGAATTCAGGCATGGGTGGGATCCCTCAGCCTGGCTGGCGATCAGGCTGTCTCGCTGGGTGAGGTGGGGACCTCTGGAGGTTGGCTCCGGGAATTCGCTACCACCAGGGGGCAGCTCCTGTGTTGATTGTCTGCCCCTGGTGGTCAGTGCATCATAGTGACTGGTCCTTCAGTCACTTAAGCTATTATATCCTAGTCTGTAGGTATATATTGATAGCTGCTGGCTGCAAACGGTTCTGCTGATGGAAGGGTCTGGTCCATCCTTCGTTCCTCAGTGCCAGATGTCTAGTGGTTATATCGAGGGTATGGTGAGCTCAAGGCTGCAAGTTTTCTGCAAGATAACTAAGCACAATGTTTCCTTTGCCCTGTTTTATTCTCAGTTTGGGTAAGAAGGGGAAAGGTTAGCAGGGAAAGGAAGTTTAGAGGCATATTTCAAGGTACACCTAGTTTTCCTAAAGATGGGGCTTGGACAGACGTAGGGAGGCAGTGGTTTACCCCTCTCATCCTGCCTGTTCCCAGAAGGCTGAGGCCATTGCTGTTATAAGATACTAGGCTTGTATGAGCTTTAATGATTGTGGGTGGTAAGTCCTCCCTTTCAATGTGGTGGTGGAGATGGGGAAAGGGTGGAACCAATGAGTTTGAAATCTCAGAACAATGACCCCCCAAAAGTGCCTTTCCTGACCATCAGAGACCCACTTTTCCCACCAATTCTCAAATTGAGAGAATGCAATCAATTGCTGAGCATGCATTTTAGTTACATAGAACTGAAAATTAGAGCCAGCAGCTAGAAGGTGCCTGGGAGCCCTGGTGGAAAAGTGCTTTCCTCTGTTGAAGTTGTCAGGTGTGCTGTTTGCTGTCCGTGTATTCTAAAGAGGTGATTGGTAAATCGTGAGGTCTCCCCTGACCAGCAGAAGCTCTGGCTTCCTCTTCCTCCTGGGTGGGGTGCTCAAAAACCAAGAGTAGGCTGTGTGGCTGAGCTCCCAGGCAATGGTCTGAATTGGCTAATTGAACTTGGTACATGTGAGAAGCCCTTGGATTTAGAGCCAAGATTATAGCAGTTATCTCTTGGGTGTGGCCAGGCTGTTTGATCTCAGATGATTGGTTGAGTGGCCTGATCTCAGAAATGTACTTCTGCCTCACCTAGTAGGGTTCGGGGTTGTGGTTTCTTGGTCCCGGCTCCTAGGGGTACATGTTGAAGATCCGTATGAAACGAATGGTGAGTGGGACTGTTGGTATTAAGTTTTCATGTCCTTTAATGGGCTTCAGTGATATTGGCTAGTCCTCACATAAAAGGTATCTGTTTAGTGGGTAGATCTATTGTAGGAACCTATCTAGGATGGATGTAGACAAAAATAGCAAAAAATGTTGGTTTTGAGGAGCTGGTTCTGCTGCCAGTTCATTATTATTAAAAAAAATCTTACAGCACTAGGTGCCTGGCTTTTTTAATTATTTTAATTAAGTCTATTGAATTGCCTGTTTTTTTTAAAAAAATTAGGATTGGGATTGGGATAGGCTAAATAATGGTGGTGGGTGGGAAGAGGTATACTATAGGTCTGCTTGTCCTCATTGATTTAGTTTAGTCTTTTTAGCTTGTCCTATCACTGCTAAGCCTGGCCTGGGTTTTTTTTGTTTTGTTTTGTTTTTTGTTTTTTGAACTCAGTAGGGAGAGGAGCATTAATGATGAGAGAAAATCATTGATAGGCTGCCTCTTGCATGACCCCCACCAGGGAATTGAACCTCCTGGTTCATAGGTTGTTGCTCAACTGAGCCACACTGATTGAGCCTGTCCAGCTTTTATTGATTTGAATCTAGGGCTGAGGTTACCGTAAGTCATTGATGGGTAGACTAACCAGGAGTTAAGGTCTAGGTCCAGCCCCTGTGAGACTCCACTTCATCCAGGTATGTTTGTTCCCACTTGGTCCCTGTCTCTTAATGATCCACCATGGGCTGTGGTCTCACTTCCTGTACTACTGTGCATGGGGGACAAGAGGCTAAATTCCTTGGGGTCTCATCTGCAACCATTCCTCCCCAGTCTCGACAGAAATCAGGCTCCTTTATTACTATCAGGCCCTCAATATGTAGAAAACCTTTAAGTTTTAACTTTTCTTTTTGGAAATAATTTGAGTTTCCATATAAATTATTGTTCTTGGTGTTTGCATATGAGAACTGAGGAACTGCCGAAACCGGTTTGGCTCAGTGGTAGAGTGTCGGTCTGCGGACTGAAAGGTCCCGGGTTCGATTCCGGTCAAGGGCATGTACGTTGGCTGTGGGCACATCCCCGGTGGGGGATGTGCAGGAGGTGGCTGGTCGATGTTTCTCATCGATGTTTTTGGCTCTCTCTCTCCCTTCCTCTCTGTAAAAAATAAATAAAATATATTCAAAACAAAACAAAAAACTGAGGAAGTGGCCAGTGGATCTTGCCAGCAGATTTGGCTTTAGGGCTTGTAGAAATTGTCAGACTCTCAGTACTATGGTTTTAGAGGGGCTTTGGAGACCATTGACTAAAATTCCTATTTGCCCAATTGGCATGCTTGGTGGTTGAGCATTGACCTATCAACCAGGAAGTCATGATTCCTGGTCAGGGCACATGCTCAGTGTTGTGTGCTTGGCTTGCAGGCTCAGTCCCCAGTGTAGGGAGTGCAGGAGGCAGCCAACCAGTGATTCATCATTGATGTTTCTGTCTTCCTCTCTGAAATAAAAAATAAAATACTCATTGTTCGAGGCCAGGAACAGGCAGGAAAAGTGTGTTCCTCATGAGCAGGACTTGCTGCTGGAGAGAGTTCTCGGCTCCTCGGGTTGTGATGTGGCTTTAGCTCTGCTGCTAGAGAAAAGGCTTCTTTAGCGGAGAGGAGTTGAGAGCCACCCTGTTGGCTTGAAGATTGGGGATTCCTTGTCCCCTAATAAGGGACCAAATTTAGGCGGCTTTACGTTGGGAATTCCAAGGTGGGGGTGTGAGTGGGGTGAGAGTGGGAAAATAAATCCTTGAAGGGAGCAGGAGTCAAGCTTTCCACCCAGCACCGCACACACTTCAGGCTGGCTGTGTTGCTCAGTTGCCTGGATGCGCAGTAGCTGTCCAGGGTGGTGTCCTTGGAGCTTTGCAGCCTCTTTAGGATGGGAGCTCTCTGTTAGTTCTAGGTTTGTTTGTTTTTTTAACTACCCCTACCCCCTTAGATTTTGAAGGAAAACTGGCCCATTCTGGGTACTGTCTCCTCGAGTAAAAAGGCAAACCCCTGTGTGGGAAGGCCTCTGTCACCTGACTCCAGTCTGAGTTGGCAGAGCTGAATCCTGTATGTAGCTGTAGGTTTTAAGTTGAATATGCACGTGAACTGTTGAATAATTTTATTGGCTTGTGGATTCTAATTCAGTATGTAGGTCCAAGTCTGGTGCAAGCTGTGCTGCTGCTGCTGATTCAGTAGCATACTTAAAGCCATGCATTCAAGTTCTGCAGAGACTCCTTTTCTTGCTAATTCCCTCTACCTTTCCTGTGACAAGGAACTTGATTGTACAAAACTTATTGAATATTTTTTTTAAATTGATTTCAGAGAGGAAGGGGGAAAGGGAGAAACATCAATAAAGAGAGAATCATTGATTGGTTGCCTCCTGCATGCCCCACTCTGGGGATCGAGCCTGCAACCCAACATGGGCCCTGACCAGGAATTGAACCTTGACCTGGTTCATAGGTCAATGCGCAACCACTGAGCCACTCAGGGCAGGCTGTAAAACTTTAAACAATGTTACCTAGGAGTTAAGGAAATGGTTAGGGAAGGTGGGACCCGCATGCGGGCTTTTTCCTAATTAACATAGGCCAACCAAAACCGTCTTTTGTTCTGCTCCCCCTCCCTCCCCCCCGTTATGTGATGCTTAAAGATGAGAGCAAAAAAAGTTATTTCAGATCATATTCTAACCTTTGGGGAGCTAGGGACA